CACCTGCATGCCACTGGTAGCATCCTCCAAGCATAATGAACACAAAGCACACATCTGAGTCCTGAAACGGAAAGCTGTTGAAGGAGTTTCTTGAGTCTAATGCACAAAATGTACACTTTTCTCCGTATTCCACTTAGCCTGCTTTCTCAGACTGAAGACAAGAAGACGATTTAAGACTCAGTAAAGGCTAGCTTCACCTCCCTCTGTTACCTGTCACACACACCATCCCTAAGCTTCCTTGGTTTTGTTTGGACTCTAAGATCTGAGTCTCCTGTGCACCGAGTGGGCTGCTTGTTACTGCCTGTGTCATCCTCCCTAATACATGACTCCCCACAGAGGCAAGTCAGCGCATGGATCTGTTCCCACCCCGTCTTCCAATCTTTCACTGCTATCTGTCACTGCAGAGGCTCAGATTTGCTTCAAAACATCCCCCTAACATCAGATGCTGAGCAGAGACACCTGGGTTAGGAGCAGTGTCACCTCCGTCTCCGCTGATGGATGTGAAGAGGGTGCCAAGTGCGCAGTGGCTGTTCTTAGCGAGATGCCTCTCATTGGCAATACTTCTCTTTCTCCATTAGCTGAAGGAGCAGCCCATGGTGACTACGCCCCTAACTTTTCACTCCCTGGAGTGGGAAGCATCTCTGTAAGACTGAGGTTTCTATATCCTTCACCCTGAATCACCTCATGCTGCCCCTCCTCAGACACAGTAAGCCAACCGCCTGCGGGCTGCACCCTCTGCTCCTCTGTCCCAAGCCCTCCTGTGCTATGGGGGAACAGTCAGCAATGTCATCTCTCATAGCGAAGTGCCCTTAAAAAAGGAAATTTGTGAGGATCTGGCTTCTTGCTGCTGAAAAAATGGAAAACCCTATCGTGGTATTCTGTTGAAATAGCCTAGAAATAACGTATACGCTGCTTTTACGATAGTCCTGCAGATTTATATTACTATCATTATTATTATCATCATAAACTGTCATTAGCATTTTTATTTCCAGTAGTTTTGTTATTTGGCTTTCAGGGGCTTATCACACAAAAACGAAAAGGGCAGGGACCTGATACTCCGCAAGACAGATAAAGACACATAACCTGTCTGAACAGCCACCTCACTGCACGTGGAGAAGCAGATCATTTTGATGCAAATAGAGTCTGAGACCAAAATGTCTTTCTCCCTCACCTCCTTTCTATTTCATGATTAAATAAATCATAAAGCTGTCACCAGAGACTACACAGAAAGAGGTCTCAAATGGTAGAAATGAGAGCTTTCTGCACTGGTCTATTTTTAATTTCAAAAGGTATTTTGAATTAAAAAAGAAAGAGAAAGGAAAAAAAGAGCATAATGCTGTTTGCATGCCTGATTCCCCAGGAGTACAAACAAGCTCTGTGTCCTCTTGTAATAATATAACAAATTTTCAAAACCAAACGCAAATAAATGAAAATTAAACGATGCTCCGTAAATTTAATTGAGATTCACAGTGTCCGATGCTTTTCAAATTCAAATTACCACCAGACAGAGCATCTTTTTACATAACTTATGCAGATAAAGCATAGATGATAGATTATTTTTCCCCTCCTTTTTTTTCTATCTTTATTTTTAGGAGAGATGGACTTCAGTCACAGTGCCGGAATCTTTGCATGTAAAATCTGAACAGAAATCTAACATTTCTCATAGAGGCACTGTACCATACTGTTATATTGTACAGTGCTTAAAGTGAATTACAGAAAATGAGCATGGAAAAACAATCATTTTTTTATTGAATAACAGACCAAAACTGCATTTTTCTGTCATTAGAGTGAACACTCAAAGGTAACTACTATTGCTTTGTGTTAGATGTCTTTCATCTTCAGTAAATAAGATTGAATGCATGAGTGGCAACTCAGAATTCTCTGCAGATCAGTTGTATCACTTCAGAAATGGAATATAAATACACAACTTAGCTTACCTAAGGAGGGTGTGAATCTGGAGCTGGAAAAACTAAACAATGGACACTGTCTCTGAGGGAGGAGTTACTCCAGAAGAGAAGTTACGGAATAGTTAAGATTGAGTTTACATTCGTTGTATTCAGGACAATGGCAGTGTATTCACCTGGCAGTGAAGTTCTTAGTCCTTGATCTTGTAGGTATTTAATCTCTAATTACTGCAATCTAAGGGAAAAAACCTCTTCCTACAGAAGAAAAAAAGTACTAATCATGCTTTGCTGTCTCAGTATATAATGGACTCCTTAGTCTAGATCTACTTGGGGGAAAACAACAAAAACGAAGAGGAGTCAGAGTATTCATAGTCTGCCCTGGAACTCATGTTTTGGAATCAGCTCCTCTATTTATGACATAGAATCATAGAACAATAGAATCATAGAATCACAGAATCACAGAATGGCCTGTGTTGAAAAGGACCTCTAAGCCCATCTAGTTTCAACCTCCCTGCTGTAGGCAGGGTCACCAACCACTAAACGAGGCTGCCCAGAGCCACATCCAGCCTTGACATGTTGGCTGAAAACCTGGGAGTACAAATTCTAGCCCTTAAGCCCCTATCCAAGATATCAATTATTAAAGCACATATATTTAAAAGCACACACACAGCCATAGGTGTCTGTGCAGCAGGGCAGCAGTCTCATCTAGTGTGTCTGGTGAGATTGAGTGGTGCTGCTGCCTGCTGCCATGCACCAATGCAGGCCCAAGTCTTCCCTTCCCTCGAGTGAGGCCTCCTGTGTGGTGCCTGGGAACAGGGGAGAGGTGGCTTTGGATGCCTTTTGATAGAAAAAAAGACCTGACAAGGAGTCGTGCAAGGTATACTGTGTAGGCTGCGGCATGAGGTCCCCACAGCAGTGCTCCAAGGGGACAGCCTGGGCTCTGCTGCCTGGAGGGGACACAATGCTCACACTGTGAGTACCAGCAGCAGAATTATTCAGCTTTCTTTCTTTCCTGGTGTTTTACTTCCCCATTTGTCAGATTTAACAAGCTCAGCTCTGCACGTCTCCTGTCAAACTTCAGGGTCTCCATCCTGCTGGTTAGCTGAACAGCAATTGAAATATAAGCCCACAAACCTGAGGGCGTACATTTCTCTTTCCATTTTGAACCAGGGAGATGCAATGTTCAACCATGCAGGAGTAAGCTGAAGGGTGGCATTTGGAAGGTGCAAGGAAGAAATGTTTTAGGCAGTTTGAATTATGAAGTAGCATGATGTTTTCGGATGGGGGAAAAAAGGGAAAACTTCCTTTAAGACCATAGAGGAACATCACCAGAGACAATATTTGAACTGTTAGTTAACAGTAAAATGAAATATTTCCTACCCATTAAAGAACAAATGTATTGAATCAGATTCCAAAGATGGTGTAGTATGATAAGAAATGCCAAAAGTGATATGCAGAATGCTAACTCCTGTGAGAAAATAAGAAGAATGCTTCACCAGTGTTGTCATAACACGAACTTGTCTTTACCACTAAGCATTTTGCCTTAACACTGTTTAATTGGAGGAAGGGGGTAAAAACAGTGGCGTAGGGAACATCAACCAGGGCAGTAAATAAGTAAATAATACTGTCATTTGAGAGTTGGTTGTGCAAAAGTCACACGCAGGAAGGAAACAAACTGAATGTTCACTAGAAAATGACGACTGACGTGGGACAGCGGCCATTTTGCTTGTGATGCACAATCCAGCTCAGATTTGACTCTGGCCATGATATCACCCTGCTACCAGCTTAGCTTGCTCACTCCAGCCTTTCTATTTCTCAGAACACTCTGCACCCTTCTGCTCCCTCTGCTTTCCCATTTCTTCCCCTGCCTCCAGCAGGGACAACCCCCTCTTCAGTTCTTCCACTGTTCCCAGAATCACGCACTATTCTCAGCATTCTTCTCCTCCCCAAATGTCAGTGTCACTCACAATCCTAGAAAATATCAAGGGACAGCACCCACAAATCCACACAGTCACAGGCACTGGCATCTTTCCCACTTGCCTGTTTTCATACCCTGCACTTGGCCATGATGGGAGCTGGGTACTACACTGCTGCTGCATGTGACTGAAAGCCACAGCAGCCCTTTTCCAGAAGGCTGGCCACACCAAGCACTAGTTTTGTTCCTTTACTTCCTGCTGGTAAATCTGGACCCAAAGAAGCATACCAGAGTCAGACAACCCTCTGGGTAATTATCCAGTAAGGACTTCACTTGTCTGTTCTGAAGTTTGTGATCCTGTTAATTTGTGGAACTGATAAGAAGAAACTGCAGCAGCAAACTGTGAATTTACCTTCTTTTGCCAGATCATTTGGAATATACTTAAGAAGATAAGGTCTTTGTGATTTGATAATTTTTAAATGTATACTCTTTATTGTGCTCTTGTTCTCATATCAAAGCCTGACTTTGAAAAATAGCTACTGGAATTTGTAGGTCAGTTTTTGCTCTTGCTACAACCGAAGTCACTGACTTCCACCAAATTCGAGTGTTACCACATAAAGCTTTCAGCCAACAGAGTTCTCCTAACTTTTTGCCCACCACATGATGGTTTATTATCTTAGGGCTGTTCATGTATGCCGAGTGACCAACTCCAACATTTAATGAAACAGCACTGAAGTATTTACTGCCCGCTTGTGCTTTTCTGCATGCACACACATACTCTCCTACCTACACATATGTGCAGGTAATATCTTTGTTAAACCATACAGCTTGAGTCTTTGAGACTTCTGCAAATTGGGACGGTCTGATTTAGTGTGCTGCTGATGGGCTGGTCATCCCACTAGAGTAGGAGCAGGTGTGATGTGCAAATGCTTTCCATGCAGCCCCCTCAGCTCTGGTTCTTGAGTCTTTGACTCATTAGAAGTTTACACACAAATGCAGAAGAAACAATATTCAAACTCAGGTTATCCCCACTCTAATATTGTTCTTTTATGGGAAGCAACCTCTCATAGCCCAACACATTAATCTCTGTTATCTCATCATGCTGCTGGCAGTCCAACGCAGAATTGGAATATATTACCATCATGCTCTCCTTTAATCAAGTCACAAGAACTCACAGAGGAAACCCCCTGCAACAGATCTGAACCCAGTAAATCATACAGCCTATTGAGAGCCAATCAAGCACACAAGAAGGCACTGAGTGTTTGCATGGCTTTGTGTTTGCAGGGAAAAGCTGTACACCCCACCTGCAGCCACCAAGCTGCAAAAGGCAAAGCCAAGCCACAGCTGCTTAGCCACTGGTGTTACACAAGATGTACGCAGGCTTCCAACAGGTGACAAGAATAATCTTGTGCATGGGATTTGTCAGCTACTAACACATGCAAGCATCTATGGGCAGAAGCATCATGGCTCTTCTGGCAGCATGTGCATAAGCCACTCCGATTAGGTCCACTGGCAGCTAAGCACAAACAACTGCTGGCATGCCGCTCTGCAGCTGACAAACAGCCTGTCATATCTTCCAATCATCTGTAAATCCAGGGGATTGGCCAAAATGACCATTTGGGCCGTTTCCATATTTCTCCGATTATTCTTAACATGCAGAAGAAAATGAGGTCAGGTTTTCCTTAGCAGCTGCCGCTCCCGCCTTGCGGCACATCACAACCCTCTGGGCTGACCTCGGTGGCACTGACCTTGGATGTCTCCGCAGTGGCATTACTTTCCTTACCACTCCCTGGTGTGCTCTCCTCCACTGCTGGCACTTCAGAGGCTTCTGCCTTCTTTGCACTTGTTTCTGGAGAAACTTTCCCCAGCCCACTCTCTGGGGCTGAGCTCGGGCTGCTTGCTGGCCGTGGCTGAGCCTTATACCAGCTAGGGTAAAATAAGGGATCGATGGTTTCTGCCGCAGGTGGCACTTGACTGTCAGACTCTGCAGTCTGTTGAGAACCACTTGGTGTCACAACCTCATCCTTAAGCAGGACAGATAAAAAGAAGAAGCAGAGTGCACCACGTTACCTTCCTGCCATAGCCAAGGTTTCTCTGCATGCCCTGTTTGTTATACCTTTCTGCAAGGAGTACATTTGCCCTAATATAGGGTCTCAAAGAGTTGCAGTCAAATGAAGCAAAAGCAACCAGCGTTCGAATAACACAGACATGGCAAAGAATGTAAGTTACCAAAAGCCAAAATAGAAGGGCTAAATTAGCTGGGAAGGGGCAAACGGTTCCTTAATCTATGCTTGAGCCTCATTTTAAATCTGTTTCCATGCAAGGAATTAACTTCTGGAAGTGAGCTGAGGCATGTGGCGACAACAATGGGTACAAGAGGAGGAGGCCCCATATCTCAAATTCACTGTCCAGTGACTGTCCGGTACAGGGATACAGCTGTCTGGCAAATTACAGGTTCTTAATTAATTACTGCATTTCATCCCATACACAGATTAAAAAAACAACCCAATTCTGAAACCATAAGATACCCTGTATAAGAGCCCCATTGGCTGGCACCAGCCACAAATAGCAGGTGTAGGTGCTGGGTTTTGGATGGAGCAAAGTATTTGGCAGCAAATCTGTTGATATAAGCGGTCAGATAAAGAGGATATAAAGACACCAGAGAGAAATACTTTCCCACCAGTCCTGCTATCATGTCAGTACAACAGCCAACCTCAGTTGTACTGTGCTGGGAAGAGGAGCAGCTATAGGAGCTGCACTGCTCTGCTTGCACCAAGCTCTCAGGGCTCACTGAGAGTGCTATAACTACTGCATTTCTGCTGTGCCTTTCTCACACCAGAAGGCAAAAGCTGAGATACACAGATCCCGCGCACTGCAGTGCCACATGCCGTGTCAGACTCCATGTCTGACCAAGTCATGATGGAATTTACAATTGCTACAGCAGCATGCCATATCTTTTCCATTTTAGCCTTAGAAGTGAGGGATTTGATATCAGTGGTCAGACATGCTTATACCTACTTCTTGTTTGCATATCAGTTATGCTACACAAGTTTAGTGGTATCAGCGCAAATCCTCAGAAGACAAACTGCAGTTAAATCAATAAAACCTGATTTAAGAGCACCTTCAGACAACTGGTGCAAATTCATGTGTGCTTTTAAATCAAAGTAAGAATGAATCTACAGCAATTTTTTTCCCCTTTGTTTTATGTGGGAAGCTTGCTATAGTCAACAATTCATCGCTTGCTCTCTTGTTTTCACACTGACCTCTTCAAATATCATCAGAGCAGCCTTTAACCACTCAGCAGCTTCACCGGAAAAACTGCATAAGAGCAGAACTTGCTAAACTAATTGTATCTATGGGCAGATAACGTGGCATACAAAATATAAATATTTTTAAGTAGTCTTTTAGAATATGCAGCAATTATGGTCTCATTCTAATAGCATTCCTTAAGGAAAAGCGTTGGCCTGAATTATTTACACCCCGAATCTGTTTGTTGCCAGGCTGTATCACTGCTAGGTTAAAGGCAGCTTCCTCTTTGGTTTGGTCTATGATATTCCTGCATCCTCCTAGATGATAGCCTGAGGACAACCAGAGCAGAGAAGAAGGTAAACGTCATTCCCAGTAAAGAGATTAGAAGCATGATCTGAAAGCCAATGGTGGAAGGCTCACTGAATCCACAGGGAATGCCAAATTCTCTTAGCATAAATATTTTATCAACTGTTTCATTTATAACATGTTAGTCTGAGTTAAAACACAGGAGGCAGCAAGCAGAACATCCATTATAATGCGTTTAACTCCCAAATTGAATCTCTTTTATTTATATATTATGTAACCCGCATATATTCTGGTTTATATAGCAAGGTAATTTTTTGCCCATCGCATGATATACACGCAGGCTGAGAGGACAGGGTACAGCCGCGTATATGTGTGAAAGGGCAACAAGCAGCCTTGCTCTTCAGTGCAGGGACTCCCTGCTGCTGCAGGAGCGGGGCTCTGGCTCTGCCAGGCCACTCAGCAGAGCTGGCAGGGCAGCGGGGCCATGGGGGCAGTTACCTGGCCAGCCGGGGTAGCGGGCAGCGGCACTGGGACAGGTTCGGCTGCGGGCTCACCCACTGCACTCTGCGGTTCAGGGTCCTGCTGAGATGGCTGTGCTGCTCTCTCAGCTCCTTCCTCTTCCTCCTTCTCTTCTTCCTCCCCCTCCTCTCCTGATGACTCTGTGTGGACTTCATCCAGGTCTTCCCCTTCTACTGTCTCCTCCTCTTCCTCTTCTGCCTCCTCCTCTAATGAGACAAATGTAGGAGAGGGCTGAGCAACACGTGAAGATTTACAATCAAAGAACCATATAATGGCTTGGCTTAAAAAGGGCCTTAAAAACCATTCAGTTCCAACTCTCTCGCCACGGACAGGTCTGCCAACCAACTAGTTCAGAATGCCCAGGGCCCCATCCAATTTGGCCTTCAGTGCCTTGACGATGGCTACCCCATGTAAGGATAAAGCTATTTACAGCTGCACAGCAAAACTGCTGCTCATCCACCTCCCTGGCAGAAGTGAGGAGCCCACATGAGGCGCTGCCACAGAGCCTTACAGCGGGAAGCACACTCCACACACGTTTTAAAGTCTTAAACCCAGAGCAACACATTGCTTTGTAAACTGTGGAGGTTTAGGTACCAATTTCCCTAAAACCAGGCTGTTAAACTTTGTCAAACCATGGTTTTACATCCTACGACACAGCCTACTGTCAGCGTTTGTGGTTGGGCTCTTTTCCAGAGGCAGCTCTCTAACAATGCGTTTGGTTTTGCATAATCATGTTATTCATCCTCACAAACATAGGGTGCTGCTCAGAGACATCCTGGTACTTCAGAGTATAAATAATCTGAGATAGATGCATTAGCCCACAAATTGGCTATGCATTTTGCACAGCTTGTGGTTCTGCCTGAACCTGTAGAAGGAATGTAGATCTGCAAATCAAATAACACTCTTGTATTGCAGAAATACAACTGCAAACAAACACTCCTGAATCTCTACTTCCACATCCTTTGCATGCAGATGACCTGACTGACTGCAGCAGGACTGAAGTCCTGATTCCCAAGGCCCTTACTAACTCCCTGTCCCCAAGAGGTGGGTGTCACATTCTCTATCACATGGCAGAGAGCACGAGGTCATGATCTTGGCAGACACACATGGATGGCAGGGACGTAGCAGCTGTGGCTGACCACAGGGACAAACAGGGCATGAGGTTGTACTCAGGGATTGTCCCTTACAGCATAAATCCCTGGAGGTTCATGGCTTTGCGAGATGACACCTGCTGTGCTGCTGACTGGTGCCATGGCTGCTGTCCCGCTATGCTACGTCTCCTGTGCCAAGTAAAGCAAGTTCATGGATCTCATCCCATCCCATACAGGTGCTCTTATTGGGACCAGCCACACACACTGAAGTTAGTGTAAGTTGTGGCGTGGGGGCAAGCGATGGGTGCCACTTCACTGAGTCTCAGGAATCTGTACAGAATTTAACTGTAGTAGAGGTAAGTGTAAATGTATTAACAGAACCCAGCACTAGCCACAAAATTAGAGATATCCAGATGATCATTAGTAGAAGAGATGAGGCCTTTTAATAGGAGAGGTCTGCTTTTTTGAAGCATCTGTGTCCATTAATTTCTTGTGGCTTACTCTGTAAGGTAAAGCATAGGTGAGCGTAGATTCCAGGCTACCTTGATAAATGCAGAATTGCAACTTTGCATTGGCTTATAGACATATGACGTATGTTTAGTCATAATGTCACAACAAATCATGCAACAAGATGTTAAATATATGAAAGATTATGACAATCTTTGCTTCCTTCTATAACTGCGATCCTGAATTTCAATCACATTTCTCTATTATTACAAATTAAAAAGGTACATCTTTCCTAATTTCTTTTAGTAGTAAACATTCTATTTCTTTAATGACTTTTGATAGAAGATAAGCCATAAAATAATGGCATCCTTTGGGTGGGAAAAAGTACTTTATAGACTGAGATAAGTGCTTAACTTTTTTATTCCTTCGCATGAGGGAGGCTTCAGTAAAGATGATCTCTTAGGGAAGTCTTGAGGCTACATAAAAAGTAAAATTCATGGTGCAAACAGATTATGTGATTTTTAGCTGTGATACTCTATTTTTTTATTATAATGGATACAAAATGGTCCAGTTACACCTTGGGATGGAAAGAAATATCTCATTCAAATTTTCTTAATCTGTATCATCACGTAGATTACATACAACTACAATTTAAGACAACTATTTAGGTGAAATAAATGACATACCTCTATCAAAATCAATTTCTCTTATTATCTTTTCTTCTCTACTGAGATTCACTGTGAATTGGTTCATATTTTCATACCCATCTTCTATTTTTTCCATCTGAAATCCTTTAGATGCTTCAGTAATTCTAAAACAGAAGGATTGGTTATTTGCATTTGGATTTGCAGATAAATTTGCAATCTGTAATTTATTATAAAAAATCAATTGTCTCAAGTTTGAATACTTACTTTTGGAGCAATGTTTTTGCATTCTGTGGAAACAAAAAGGAAACAACTGACTTATTAAACAGTTCAATTTTTTGAGATATATCATACATTGAGATCTAATTTTTACACTAGCTGCTTCTAAATGCATTAATATAGATCTAAAAAATTAGTCATGAAGTCTGTGAATGAGATCAGACTTGTAAACTTGAGTAATCTCCTCAGTTCATTGAAGACTTTAATTAAAATCTGACAACAAATACACAAAAATATTTACAAAAATGAAACAGAAATATTTTTGCTCTTTTGCTTTTTTTTTTTTTTTTTGGTGTGTGCATTTGTAGTGAAAAGCAATTGTTCTGTTACAACCTCTTGTTACAACATCTTTTACAACATCACCAAGGGCATACATCTGAAGCCATAGAACCTTATTTGTCTTGAAAGAATATTGTGCTCTTCAGCAGCAATTATTTGATATAAGTAAGTTTTTTGTTCTTGCTTTCCTTTTGGAAAAGAATTTTTCAGCCTTTAATAGAGAGGAACTGTAACATTGCAGGACAGAAATTCTACACCAGTGAATCCAGGGAACAAGCTATCAATGGTTTCCTAATCATCTGTTCTGAGCTCACATTATAAAAATATAGAAGTTTTGAGGTAAAGGCATAAAAACTGGACTTACGGTATCTCCTGGAAAGTTCATCACTGTTACTGTGCAACTGAAATCTCTAAATCACAGAAATCTTTCTTTGTATTTGAGGGGTGAGAAAATAAAAACATATAGAAAAATATTGAAATTCCTGTTTCCCCTGGGAACACAAAGCCTTTTACACAGGATAGTATACTTTGGAGCAAATGGCAAATACTCGCCCTTGATTTGGATACTATTCGTGAGAGACCTAGTCTGTGCTGATGTAAGTTTTAAAATGAGTTTGTATGAGAATTCATTCAAAGTTGACCAAATTCTGGATGTGCCTAAAATTCAGAAATGCTTACACAGTATTTCAGTAAACATCACTCTTCTTCTGCCTCTGCTTATAGACTTTGTACCTGCAAAAACACAGCCATTTCTGGTTCTTCCATGAACTGGATTCCCGACTCAACCAGCTTAGACACAGCTTCCAAATGATCTGCATACTTCTTCATCAGGGAGCGGACATGTTCCAGTTTCTCCTCTTGGGTTCTAGTGATTATTTGTGTCATCTCATTTTTTCTTTCTTCCAGTACAGAATAGAGATAATCAAATTTTTCACACAGCTGCTCCTTCTGTCGTCTGCTGCATTCCTGTGAATCATTTGGTTTATGTTAAACATGTTATGTTCTTAAAAGAGTTTCTATTTTTACAGTTACTTGGAAGCATTTTCATCAAAGAAATTCCTCTTTTTGAGCAGTGCAAAGGATTCTGAATGACCCCGGAGACTTTCATAATTTTCAAAGTTCAAGCTATCGGAACAAAAGTTTTAAAACTGTTCTCAAACTCTGGATTTCAAACCACTGAAAGCCCCCAAACAGGTTATTGTATAACTTGTCAGCCCGCTGAAGAACTGTGAAAGGTATTTATGATGTCTGTAGTGATACTTCAAAGCCTGCAGGAAAAGTAAAAAAAAATCACCATAGTAGCAGCTGTGTTCATTTGCACGAACAGAATGTTTTTTAAAGGAAATATCATCCATCTCAAAGCAGTTCTGGAGAATTTTCTTTTTCTACCTGGAACTTTCTTGCTTAGGCCTGATTTTTACATCAGCCCTTTCAGACTCTGTTTTGACAGCAGGTGTCCATTATATCCCATTTACCGTGCGCCGAATGAGGGAGAGGTAGTGCGAAAAAATGCTGTGTGACAAAAGCACAAAGACAAGGAGGAGGAATGGGGTTCCAACCCTACCTTCAGGCATTGATTTTCACATCATTTTCTGGGACACTTTTCCTGTCCTTCTACTCAGACAACACACTGCATCTCAGTTAGAAAGGGTTTGATGACTGCTTCACTGAGCGCTCTCTAACAAGAACACACTGCACTTGCACGGGAGGATTTATGCAGAGGGAAGCAGGGACAGGTTATCTGTAATGTCTGAGGTCTACCAAGTACTTGATTCATCTCTGAGCCCCAGGGCACGCAGACGGGCATGTCCTTATTGTGGTTATACCTGGTTGTGGATGGGGGTGGTTACTTTAATCTCTTTCCTAGGAACTGAGGCTGAATCAATTCCTCATCTTCATCCCTGGAGGCATAAAGCTGAGATCCTGGCAGCACAGGGTTATTAACATCCCCGCAGTACTTCTGGAACTGGTAAGACTGATTCTTTGCAGCATTTGGCCACAGAGAGCCTCACTTTTTTCTTAACTTTCAACCAGAACTCTTTCCTAAGAGCTGGCAACAATCTGCTCTGTATTGTTCAAAGGAGAAGGCCTTCTGAAGATGGATGGGTGGCCAAACACCACAGTCTGTGCTGCAGCGTGAGGAACAAATACAGGTGTTGTTGCATTGCCCCTAATATCCACTTCTGATTCCAATGAGGAAGACCTGGCTAAACAGACACCCCTGCCTTAAAACTCATGCAGTTGTCCTGTCCAAGTCTTGCCCTTGTGGAAGTCCTTAGCACTTCCAAGAAATTTCTCTGACTGATGAATTGTAGGGTGGAGATAAGGAAGCTGGGTGTTCTATTGTTCAGACCTCAGAAAACCTTCCTCTCCTCTTTCACTCCTTTCCTCTCTTTCTCCCACTGTTTCCTGCATTTCCTCTTGCTCCAGACTCCATTTCAGTCTACAATGACCTCCTCTGAAATGTCACTCAGATCACTTGTAAAACAACCTTAATTTAAGGACAGGTGTGTGCTGTCTTTGACATTTGATATAGGACAAGTGCTCGGGGAAGAAGAGAGAGAGAGTGCCCTGAGAAGTCCTTCCCTATTTCTAAGCTTTAATAAGTATTATTTTCTGCCAGCAGACATTACAGAGTTGTGAACCTTGTATGTTAGAATGCAAAGCTAACAGTAAATGCTGAAATATTTCTGTTTTTCTTTTTCTGTATAAAACGTTTTCATATTAAGTTTCTGTTTGACGGAATTATCCTAATCAGATTCTGAGTAATAAAAGGTTAATAAAGACATGACTTCCCATTCTAAAAAAATCTTAGCCTTTTTGCTTTTTAAAGCACAGCTACAGGAGAAAGGAAGGAGTCCCTGTCACTGAGCACGAACAGTGCAGAGTTCTGGAAGCACCAGCAGAACACTGCTTGTTCTGAACTATCTGTATTGACTTGTCACTGCTATTAGCATTGAAAAGAAACAATGTAATTTTTCCTTTAGTATCTGACTCTTATTTTTTACACAGCTAAATACCATTTAATTATCTGTTGTCATTTTACACTATTTTTCTTCTGCTTTTTTTTTCTTTTTCTTCAGTATAATATGTGAACTTGGTCTACTTTTCCATCAATTAAAAACTACACAATTATTAACCAGATACATTTTTAAAAACTGCTTTGCTTTTTTTTTTTTTAGGTTTGGATAGGAGTAATAGCTAAACATAGAACAGTAGGCTATTGCTTTCTCCAGCTGAAAGAAAAATGATCATGTATTTTCTGCTGGAGCAAACATTGTTCTCTGCAAAGCTTTAAGTAAAGGAAGAGACAATCCTGGATTATGAGTGCTACTTCAATGTGTGCGCATTTCTCAGCTCCAGCTGTAGCTTTTCAACTTCAAGGACAAACTGATGTCAATTCAGACAAAGCTGTTGCGTGGTAGGAAATGTGATTTGCTTGAAATATAACATGGAAGTGCCAAAGTAAGCTCTAAGATCTATTTTCTTCCATCTCTGACTTTAAAGGTGAAAAGCCTCTCAGAAAATCTGAAGGTAAAATGGCTGCACTTTCTTTGGGCTTTGAGTTTAAAGGTTAGGCTTTAAGCTGAGTGGATAATTCTGAAGAATCTAGTTTCAAAACTGTTGTATTTTTAAGAATATTTTTAGCAGTGTTTTCTCCAACTTCGGATGATGATTGAAATTTTGTTTCTATATCAGCTAGTTCAACTGAAACGAGTATAAGCTCTTGCTTTTGAATCATTCAAATTTCTTCAGTTAACCCACTTGAAAGGCTTGTTTCTGCCTGCAAAGTCCTGATAGCAGCCAATTTCATCCTTACAGTGTGAAAGCTTCCTGACTACAAAGTTCTGACTCTGCTGCTAACACTCTCTCATTTATTTGGGCTAATGGTTTTATGTTCTTTGAACTAAGCTTGGACACTTTCTCTTCTTTTCGTGCTCTGAGGAAACAGGAGCCTACGGCAATTGTGTACCTAGATTACAGAATCAATTTTTCTTATCATGTAGAATCTATACATCTTGGATTAACTTCTATTTCACTGTAGTTTCCATTCAGCTCTGATGTGTCAATAGAATTCTAATTGGACTGAGAGGGATAAGACTCTTTCACCAGATGCTTCACAAACTCTGATCATTAAATCAATTCATATGAGCTGCTTTATTATTCTGTGATGCTCAAATTGGTCAGAACTGAAATTTACATTTGCTTTGTTGGTACAGACCTCCTGGAAGAAATTAAGGCCACTTCTGTTACTGAGTGACACAAAACTAATTCCAGCTCTGTCAGAGGAAGACCTTTACCAGAAAATACAAATTTGCAGTAAGGGCCCAAGCTCATCCCACTCATGAGCAATACAAGATTCCTTAAAGGACTGCACACATATATTAAAAAACTACTACACTTGAAACAAAATAGCCAAATGTAGACTTCACTAAACCATAGCTGGGAGCTATGCTGTGGCTTCTCATGTGTCTGAGAATAAGGTTCTTTCAGAATCAGTGAAGTCTTAGAGTAATATTGGTCTTCTACAGCTTTAGCATCTGAACTGAGAGCTCACGGTGTTTTTTGGATCCGTTTCTAACTTGGGTTGTAATCCATGCAACTAAGAATGCTGAGCAAGACATGCTGATGTGAATTATTTTTACTCTTTGTCTTCAGTCACAGGGTCAGTGCTGGGAGCAGGGTGCTGAGCAAGGCACATCCTTTAAATGAGGCACTACAACTGGTACTACACAAAGACACAGGTTTTTCAAAATGATATGGGAACCCATCTGGGTAAAGTGAGGTCTAGTAGAGTGATCGTTACCACCAGTTTAAAAGCTGCAAACCCACACTAGCATAACTGCATGAGAAGGAATGATACTTACCTCAACTGTCTTGCAGGTCTCCTCCAGCTGTGTGACTATTCCTTGCACTCTGTCATTGCTGCCCACCAGGACTGCGATGCCGTCACTCAGCTCGGACTGGGTAGTGAGGAGAGAGCAGGCGAGAGGGTGTTAGACACTCTGGGGGCTCTGCAAACCAGCCATCCACCATCCCATTTTGGAGTGGCCCATGTAAAACTGAGGAGCAGGGGATGGACGAGCCATACTAAGGTGTTAGCTGCACTTTTCACCAGAACCATGGAAAACTGGAGTGTTTTGACGTTTGTTTCCTTTCCTACAACATTCAAAACACTGTCATTTTGAAAGTGGAGAATAAGCTGTGATTTGGAGAGGACAAAGCACTTTCTTCTAGGAGGTTCTTCTAGATGCTTTTATCTGAAGCACTGTGCTTCAAGAACTCCCAAAAATTCCATTTGGGCTTGTTGACAGAGAAGAATTTCTCTCTTTTGAGAGACTGTTTTATTCAATTTTCTGGATCCAGCCACACCACTGTGATATTTTCCTAAGGACTGTAGATCTCAGGCCTGGAGAAAAGGTGGTCCATGGACCTGTAGGGACCACGGATACTATGGAGGTTCTGCCATGAGGGCAGTGGAGCTGGCAGCTGTGCTCAGAAAATAAGGGAGAAAAGGGGGAGAAAAGAGTCTCTGGCACAAGGCATACAGTGGAACCCTCTCACCAGACCAGACCAGTGGGAAGGTGGAGGGCCCTGCTGTGTGATGGAAAGGAAAAATGTGGAGGGAGGAAGGAGCTGGAAATGGTGAGGAAGAAGGAAAGTCCCTGCCACAAGTGACAGGAGGGAATTACCCAAGTGTGGAGATGGGGAAGACTCTGAGATGTCTTCAGAGGAGGAAGCTACTCTCTAGAGAGCTTACTGAGGGGTCAGAGGAGGATAAGGAGCCCTTGGCATACTGATCTAGCCACGAAGACAATGATGTCTGTGGCCTCTACAGCTTTGTAAAGGGTCCTTTGAAGCATAGATCCCTCAGCCTCTGGATTACACATTCAGCCTTGAGCATGAGAGACCCATTCCACACGCACAGTGGGAAAGAAACCTCTGCTTGCAAATTTCTATGGAAAGAGAGTGATTGAGGGCATGGATTCTATCCAAGAAACTTCTTCCCTTCTCTCTCCTTTTTTGAACAAAAAGAATGCTTATAACTACTTTTCTAAAGCGAGTTCTCATTTGTAGTTTTCACACACAAGCATCATGTGATAAAGTTGGAGGCTGGGACTGCAAACTTGGCCTGTCTGATTGCTTGGCCCACCAGGGCCCTCCAGAAAAATGAGCTGTTTATCTCATGAGGATAACACAGTGAGTCAGGTTTTAAATTAATACTGTATTAAAAATAAACAAGTCTTTTACTGGTGACAGCAAGGGCAGAGGATGTTCGGTACTTCCTGTGCTACCAACTATTGAATATTTCTGCATTCAGTTGCAGACAGAGGTTTTTCACTTATTTTTTTCTTTTTTATAACAGATGCTTAAAGGGAAAAGTGTATGATAGACAACAGTTTGATTTGTAATGGTCTGTTCTCTTTCCATCATGTGCTGGCAATCATACTTATTGTTCTGATATAAAAGCAGTGAAAAAAAGAGATTAGGAACTCCCAAAGGGAGATCCTCAGTTTCGTACTAAATCTTGGTGTAAAATGTGTAGTCACTGTACTAAGAAAAATTGAGACGTCGTATCATCTTTCTGTGTGATTTCTTATAGATTTATTTCTCTGTACTATTAAATAGTTTCAACAGATTTGTGTGAGCCTTTTACTCACAAACAGGAATGAAAAAGGCACCTTTAGGCCACTTCAGAAACTCACAGGAAGCTCATGGGAATACTTTCCTGTTGATGATCCCTTCAGTCGCTGGGGATAGTAAGACACAAAAAGATATTTACCTTCTGTTGCTGGTAAACGTTTGTGAGAGGTGCAACCTGACAGTCTTTGTGGGCACCAAAGACTTTGCACAAGGAGCAAGTGGGTATTTCACAGTTCAAACAATAGATATTGATTCTCTCATCTTCATGCTCTTCGCACATTGGCAGGTCACACTTTCTTTCAGGCCTGCAAAAGAGAATAAGTTTAAAACAAACTTGGTCTCATAAATTTCTAATGATAATGGTGAGGGTATCAGCATGACGTAGGGTACAATCACACAGCAGTGTCTGAGGCTGAGCTGAATGCTTGTGGTATATTTAAACCTGTCACAAAGGATGACTAAACAGACAGAAGTACCATTTAAGATCCTGACATGATAGGATGTGAGAAGAATATAGTACTGTGACTTCATATTTGAACTGGGAGTGTGACTGAGTTCTCACTCATATTTAAAAATGTAAATAACCTCATTAAGATTGGTCTTACACTACCTATGTTCTTTAGTTAGCATGTTGCCCATCATTTGTCTGAAATATGAAACATACATAATTCCTTTAGGATTCATCATGCAAAATATTGAGTACTTGGCCTTGAAACAGCAACGCTGCTGTGTAGGGGGCTAAATTGAAGTAGGTGTCAATGGGCCTTTGTGCACCATCTATGATTTCTGCTAACAATCCTTCTGAAGTCCATGTCAGGTCTGCCAATATCAAATGGGACGGAGTTCCTGCAGCCTTTACACCATGCCAGCAATCAAAATAAGGTCTCACACAAACTAATTTTAGCTGTGCAGCATGTGTCTAGCTGTTCGGACTTGGTGATCCCCAAGGTCTTTTCCAGCTCAGAAGATTCTATGATTCTATATCCTGTACACTGTTGAGCTTTTTAGCAATAGCTGTTTTGACTGTATCAGCCACCATGGTTCTGGGTTACACGAGGAGTGCGTGTCCCCCACCTGTGCTAAGCCAAGAGCTATCATTAGACTCACTGTCTCAGTTCTGATCTTCTCTTCACCAAAATGATGCAGCCATGTACACTAGTCAATCCCTGCTATTACAGGAACCAACTTAGTTGTAACTTCCTTTAATAAGCTTTTTAACTGACATGCCCAGTGTGCTCTGTCCCAGTCTGTATGGGCAGGCTGATGCTTTTCTAAGCCTGTGCACGTAAGTGTGTGGCAGCGTGGTACTGGATGGGAGTAGCAAAGTGATGGAAGGAGTGTGCCTGGGGGTTCAAACATCCAAAGGTTGCAGCTTCTACTGTGGCAGTGTGAAATCTTTCCAGTATTATTCATTATAACCTAATGCCTGGATGGAGAACTATGACTCACCTGTAGCAAGTGGAGCAATGACAACACAGAAATATGTCATCATCCTTGGTCAGAAATCCTTCCAGAAACTACAAAATTTAATGGCATTCTAAATGGAAGCTTTTTCCCACGTTTTTTAGACCATTTTTTGCAAGGAGGCAACCTGTCTGTCATTCATTCTACTAGAAGTTTAAAAAAATATGTGAAGATCATTATTTTAGATTATATTATAGTAGAGTTTTTCATACAGCTTGGTAGAGTGGACATGGAACTTATTTTTTAATAACAAAATACAGGTTTTCTCTTCTGATCTTAAGAAAAAATTGAATGGAATGTGATCAATTAAAGTAAAAAAAGATCAAGCAATAAAAAAAGTGTCTCATGCCTTTGTTTTTTTAATTTCAAGAGGGCACTGGGATTGAAGGGATTTATAGGAAAAACCTGTGATTTTCAGTATAATATGATTTACAAAAATAAAACAAGAAGGACCTTCCCAAAGGAAGCTTGTATTATTTGGGACAGATTTTCAGCACGTTTACATAAGGCCCTCAGTGTGTCAAATCAAGCACCATTTCAATGCTAGTCAAAAAAGGTGTGTCTCTGCTGTAAAGTATGCTTTAGGTTGTTTGCAAATGACTGCAAAAACCCCCTAAAATATCCATGTTGTTGTGCACCAGTGTGAGGGCCCACATGTTAGAGCAATAACAGACAATGAATATCGGTGCGATCAATTAAGCCTGAAATAGCTGTTCTTCCTGAAAATGTTTACAAGGCCAGAAATGACTAGAATGTTATTTGACACTGGAGTCCTGCCACTTGCATGAAAGACAGACACATAGCACAGGGCAACGGTGTCAAGCAAGTCTGGCCAGAAGTAGCCAGCCTTCAAAGGTGCCGCGAGGAGCTGCAAGAAACCTGGCAGAACTCTCTGAACTTGCCAGGCCCTGAAGTCAGTGACAGAAGCCTGGAGGTAAACACGTTTACAGCCTGCTTCTGAGGTTTTGCAAAAGGAGGGATGTTTTCAGAGGAGATCTGCTATGTATATGTCAGTGTAGCAGCAACTGAAATGCTGCTTCTAAGTGTAAAACAGCAGCTGCTTCTGAAATGGAAGATTAAAAAGTAGACAGTAGGAAAATGACACATAGCTTTTTTTGAAGAATAGATTAATCATAGATGTGGCTGTGACCACAATTAGCAGGCAGCTATAACAGCCTAATAGCTTTGTGTTCTTGTTCTCTGGCTCTGCTCTTTGAGATGCTAAGCCTGCATTTGAATAACATAGACTTATTCTTTCCCATTAAAACTGGATTGAACCTTAATGTGCAGGCGTTGTGCATTCTTTATGGAGAGGAGAGTTCTCAGCACCCTTGGAGTAGTGTCCAGTTTCGGGCTCCACACTACAAGAGAGAGTCCAACAAAGGGCCATGAAGATGAGGAAGGGACTGGAGCACCTCTCTTGTAAGGAGAGGCTGAGACAGCTGGGACTGCTCAGGCTGGAGATGAGGAGGCTTAGAGGGATCTCATCAATATCTACAAATACCTGAAGAGAGGATGCAAAGAGGATGGAGACAGACTCTGTGCAGTGGTACCCTGGACGTGGGCCTGAGTAACCTGCTCTGGGTGTTCCTGGTTTAGCAGGGGTTAGGCCAGATGGACCCAGAGGTGCCCTCCAATTTCAATCATACTGTGATTCTATACTTCAGTGAAGAATTTCAAAGCTACTGGGGTCATAAAGGAGTGTATTCTAATTAAAGATATACTAAGACCTTAGCAAAACTGATATTAATAAATTGATATGTAGAAGTGAATTTATGCAGATTTACATCTACAGTGACATTTATGACCTCATAGTCACATTCCTTTCTCATAAAAAGTAAATTCAGCTGAGCTTGACAGCGAAATTGCCTATCTTGTATAAAACATGCCATTGTGTATATTAACCTATTCACCAAGGCAGGCCTAAATTGCACAGACTTAAAACAATTCCACTGCCATTGCATACATGCCCTAGCATCCTGGGCACTTCCCTTTGTTGAACTAAATGAAACTCCTACTGTCCCATGTCTCTAACTATCCTTCTGATAGGAAGAGCAACCACTTAGTGTACCAGTCACTCCTCACAGTTCTGTATCACCTGCAAATTTGCTAGTGGCAAGCTCCTGCCCAATTGTCCAGGTCATTTAATGACAGTTTTAAATTGCACTGGCCCCAATATCAACCTCTAGCTATATCATGAATGTCTGGTCTCCACGTGACTTTGTGCTGCTCCTCATAACCTGCTGGTTTGGCAGTTCAGCCAGTTTTCAGTTCACCTCACTGTCCGCTGACCACTCTAGACATTATTTCATCAATTTGTCAATGAGGACATTATGAGAGACAGTGTTGAAAATCTAAATAAACCACACCCACTGTTCTCTTGTTCACTGAGCTTGTCATCTCTTTGCAAATGGCTAATGGATTGGTCAGGCATGAATTGCACTTTGCAAATCCACATTGACTACTTCTGATCGCCTTCTTATCTTTTAGATTCTGAAAATGCATTCCAGGAGAGATTGCTCCAACATCTTTCCAGACATTGGTGTAAAGCTGATCAGACTGTAATTCCTTGGATTCTCCTCCCCACACTTCTTGAAGATTGGAGTGACATACAAACGCACTACTACTGTGAATTCCTACCCAAGCAAACCACTGGTGAAGCTGAGGAGGAGCATTCTTTCCATGGGGGCATGGAGAAGATCCAGGTGATCTCTATACTAATCTCTTTTGCTGTGCAATCTGTGCAGCTCCTCCTGTAGCATCCTTGCACTGTGACTGACCCACCCTAGTGCACAACACCTTTCCTTCTCCCAGATCCAGCCTATCTGAGAGCCCATGTATTCCTACAGCCCATACTGGAGCCTCCCCTGGGAGCTAGAGATGAGGCCTCTGAGGTGTCAGCTCCTGGTGGAGCTGGGCATGCTGCCCTGCTGTGGATCCCCAGTGCTACAGAGCCCACACACTCTGCTCTCTGCATGGCTCCTGGCCCCTGCTGTGCTGCATCTGCTGCTCCACCTACACACAGCAGGGCCAGCCTTCACCTAGTACTGTCCCTTGTAGGTGCAAGGGAGGAGCACTCTACAAACCCTGGAGCTGGATCCTGAGGACACAGAGACCAAAGCACCCTTTGTTCAGGAATAGCTGGCTGAGCTCATTAGAGGCTGGCAGAGACTGTGAGAAGCTGCAGCCTCCTGCAGCTACCCTTTCCTGGCAGCAGCAAGCCCCCTGAAGCTCCTCAGAAAGTTCAGGTGATCAGTGGTCTAAAGACTTTCAAACACTGGAGTAATATTTTAGTTAACTTTATTTCTGTTGGGTTCAGCACTTTACTCTCCTTTAAAGCTTTGCAGGTGTCACATCCTGCTTGAATATTTTTTCCCTTGTCTTGCTAATAGATACTAAATTGGGCAACAGGTTATGCTGTCATCAGCTGGAGTCTGATGTGCAGTACGATAAGACAAAAAAGTGATGTAATTTTCTGTAATAAGAGGGGCTGCCTGTGGGAACTTTGCTAGAGCCTCCCCATCTGATGGCACAACTCCTCCCTCAGCTTTTATTTTTGAAATAAAAATGCCTTAATTCATACAGAAACTAGAAAATTAGGATAAAAAATATATATTTTTGAGATAAATTATTTTTGCCTAAGCAGGAGACAAAGCTTGCTCCTTATTTGGATTTCAACCCCTCTCCTAGCTCCTGCAAAAGCAGCTGGGAACTGGCACTGTTCTGGCATGTGTAGTTGTTACGGTGAATTGTACCAGCAGGAATATCTTGGGGAAGAGGGTCCTTTTCTAGAAGTCACAGGAGCTGCCAGGCTGAAGGGCTGTCTTGGAAAGAAACAAAGGTGACACCTCTTCCTTTCTATGTACCTCTGCCAGAACCAGCCCTCAGACTGAAAGAAATTGATACAAAAGGAAGAAAAGACCTGATTTTCTTTAACTTTTTTTGTTTCAGTGGGATAACATGGGGTAAAGCAGGGGCAGATCTTGCCCACACAACCAATAGGAGCCTGAGGAATTTTAGGCAGAGGGAGATAAGCAGCTGAAGACTACAAAGTGCCAAATAGTTTAGATAATGCTGTTATGCATTGTTGCTGCTATGAAACCCTGATAATTATTTTAATTCTGAGGACATTCATGAAGGTTAAACAAACACCTGAAAAGATTAAGCAAATAGGGGTTCTAGACAGGTATCCATGCAAATACACGATTCGTGATTATATTTTTTCCTATTCTCCCCTTTTATTCATGATGTTGTATTTTTGTTCTCTTCAATTGCTTAAAAGGAAGTTGTGGAAAGGTGGGGGTTAGCTTCTTTTTCCACGTAACAGCAATAGGACAAGAGGTAATGGCCTTCAGTTATGCCAGGGTAGGTTCAGGTTGGGCATTAGGACAAAAATCCTCTCAGAGTGTGGTGAGGCACTGGAACAGGATGCCTGGAAAGGTGGTGGAATCACTCTCCTGGAGGTGTTCAAGAAATGTGTAAATGTGGCATTAAGTGACACGGTTTAGTGGTCATGGTGATTATGGGTTGATGGTTGGACCAGGTGATTCTACGATTTCGTTTTAGAAGATTTTCAAAAATCTACTCAATCTCTTACATGCCCATTTAACTGAAATTGGCTCTGTTTGCCCATGAAATACATAGGAACACTGAGCTGAAGTTTTCATATTTTTTTTAAGTTTAATACAACCCTTGAGTTGGAAAAAGAAATATAAGACATGAGGCCATTAAGTGTCCCCCTTATTTGGTTGAGTGCAAAATCCACCACTCTGTTGATTCATTTCCTCAGATACTTCCCTGACTCAAATAATACTTGGATATCAACGACACACACAAGAACAGATGACCTTCCCTGGCCACAGAGTGCTAAGAGCAGGAGAAAGAAGAATATTAAGCCAACTTCATGCTCTCCAGTGTTTTGGAGCTCAAATCCATGTGCAGCTATAACTGTTCTGTGAGGACTCAAACAGCCAGGAATAGCTAAAGCCACTGCTGTGCTCCAAAACAACCTCTGTGCTGGAGGAAGGTAGAAGTGCCCTAAACCACCCAAGGGGCTGGATACAGTGCTTGAGTCCACCTGCACCAGTGATATCACCTCTGCTATCCCTGCAAAGCCCAGCTGCTTGTGGGAGGAGGCCAGGATTACACCTTCCTTCAGGTATACAAATACCCTGCCTTACAAACCTGGCCCTATAGGTGCATACTGGTGACAACAGGCTGCATCCCTGGGTGAGAGCTGCTTGCTTAGTGGCCTTCGCCTTCTCTTATTATGTTCCCCAGTGTGGTAGCCTGTGCCCAATTCAGCATAGGGAAAGACAGATAAGATGTTGTTCTATTGCTGGATTCCGAACGCATCCATTAGAGGCACTTAACATTACGAGAAATCTTAATTTTTAGGATTAACCTGTTCCTCTGCCCTGGGATTCTAACACATAACCATATAGCTCTGATACATATTATTTATAGCTGTTCCTTCACTACTATGGAATCCTAAATGAGACTCAATTTCATGTGTTCCTGTCCCAAGCTGACGGAAGTTGAGATTTTTTATTGTGTTTTAATGTAATGTTATGATCCAAGGTATTTTGTGGGTGCAATTCAGCTATCTCCTTGTTTATTCCTTAGGATTTTCTAATAAGATTTTAAATCCAATTCCTTTAGCATGTGAACACACAGGCTAAAGAGAAATATGTTTGTTTGAATAGCTTATAAAATAAATAACATGAATCTAGCTACTTTTCCCTCATTCATGAGAATACCCTTGCTGACTTTACGGGTAAGTACTGCTCAAGGGAATGAAAATGACAGAGTTGTCTTCTTTAAGTGGAAGCAGGGAAATCCAGCATCTATCTGGATACTGCTTTCAGAGTTGATTTCACTGCACAGCAAGCAGGGAGCCATGCACAGCAACACAACCCCTTTCTGTATTTCTAAGAGAGAAATTAACAAATAAACCTCCTGTCTGAAAAACAGAAAGACCAGAAGGACATCACAGCAATCCCAGCGGTGTCTGCTTTTGTGGCAGATCTCCCATGAAGGGTCTAAGTTCACTTGTTACCTTGTGGACTCCTGCTTGTATATATCAATGATGTTCTCCACCAGCAGGTTCCTCTGCAGCCCATACACGCCGTGCCGGTCAAGGACCACTTCATGTCTGCAGGAAGGACAGCGAAACCGGCCTCCCGAAGCCACGGTCGTGCCTCCCCTGGTGGGCAGGTAGGGGTTCGAGGCCTGTTCTTGCCAAGCAGCACAGGAAGAGGTGAGTAAGGCCACATGCAGCTTTACCAAAATGTATTTTGACGACAAGGCATCATTTTTGGCGCATGACAGACCAAAATCTGATGAAATCAGGGCACATCTCTCTCTCTTCCCTCTTCTGCCCTACCAGCCCAAGGAACTCTGAGTCAAGCCATTCAAAGCAAATATCTAAAGGTCTACTAAGAGAAAGAGCTGAAGCCATCTGGATGAGGCTCACAGTGCTGCAATGATCTATGCTAGAGATAATGCAGCTCCTTCAAAAGCACCAGGGCAGCCCCCCCAGCCTCAACATCTACTAAAAGCAATCAACTGAGCCAGGCAGTACTCGGCTTTTCCATTCATTCAACTGAGTGCTGCCTGAATCTTCAGAGCTTTCCATGGGAATGGACCTACCTGGAAAATATCACTGGCGCATTTCCTGCACAGGTTATGCTGGCAGGGCAGGATGACCACCGGCTTGGTGAACATCTCCAAACAGATGGGGCAGATCAGCTGCTTCTCCAGGTTATCCATGGTCTGTTGCTCTTTGGAGAAGGACTTGTAGCCCAGAGAGGTGCTCATCCCTAGCTTTTCCAGGGGCATATGCTCAGGATCACGGCGTCACTGCTCGGTTTCCGGGTGAATTTTCCTTGAAATAAATCCAAGGCTCCGGTGCGATCAGAGGCTCTCCGGGCTTCGCTCACTGGAGGACATTGTTTGAACGAGGGGCCGGAGGGAGCCGGGGCTGTTTTTAGCAGCACGGCGTCACGAGATGCCATTCTGCCGTGCCCATATAAGCTGTGAGAGGAGGATAGGCTGGGACAGGTGACAGCTCCAGGGGCTGGGGGGGCAGTGGCAGAGCCCTGGCTCTTCTCACTCACACATGGCGGCCTTCACCCCTGGGAGCAGCCGAGTGATAAGTGTGCACCATCTGAGCAGCCCTTATCTTCACAGGGCCAAAGCATGCCTGCTGCCCAGACTGACAGCCACTACTCCTGCATTATAGAGTCGTCATTCTGAGCACAGAGCTGAGGCTGCTGTGTGCAATCTGCTGTGCTGCTCCTGTGTTTCAGCAGGCTCCAGCAGTTGGCCCTCCCAAGGTGTGGAGCACGTGAAGTTCCTGGAGAATACAACAGGAGAGATGGCTGCTCTTGGGCTCAGATCCTTTAGGGTGTAAGCATATCACTGCCTTACAAACCAGGTGAAAGCACTGCCTACCAATAACTGCACTTAACTTTCTTCCCGTATCATTTTTTTAGGAACCAAGAATTTAACTTGACTGTTCAATCTAGTAGCTTAAATATGCCCCAAAAACACTATCTGAATTTTCTAATGAGAAAGAGACAGAAGAATTACAGTATGAAGAGCTTTAATTTGTACTGCTAGAGAATAAGTACTAATTGTACACACACTCTCTCTGCCTAGTTTAATTCAAATGCATTTTGGTTTTGGGCACTGCTGTTTGTGTCTGTTTATTAGACACCAGTATCCCTCTCAGCTTGGCATTTGTTCTAGAGTTATTTTTAAAATGACAATTTCCCAGATAATCTGTGGCATGTGATGCCTGATCTTAAGGGAAAGCCATCTGTGCTTCCACTTGCCAATAATTTATTGCACAACTGTACAAGTAATAAATATCTCATCCTCAATTTAAGCCAGAGTCCCCACATGTACTGTATAAAATCACTTTGCCACTGTACTGTACATGCAATCAGTATATTGTCTGTTATCTTAGTCAATAACTTATCCACTAAGGGTCTTGCAGAAATCTCTTGTGTTTATGTTAACTTTTAACCCAGCAGTGCTCAGCTATGACATGCCTTATACAGTGGCTGAGTAAATCTCCTGTGTGTCCTGGGCAGACCTCATTTCCCTCTATCTGTATGCAACACCAGTCTGCACACCGTGCAGTTCAGGGAGACATAAAAGTGAAGGTTTTCATTGATTTCCACAAAAAAAAAAAAGAGTAATATTCTCTGCATGCAGTGACAACAGATCACATTAAAATCAGTGTATCACTGACTAGCTTTTATCTTCAGTGCCTTGCATGCTTTAAGCATTTGGGTTAAATTCTGTACCCACTTGCAGCCCACCAAGCCAGAATTTCACCTACGCCTATAAATTTGTCAGCAGCCCTGTAAAAACAACTAACTTTTTCTGAAGTCCTGCTTTGATGAGAAATTTGTAAGTTTAGTTACCCTCGTCTGAAGTCACACCTTTGCTCCAGCTCACCAGTGCAGGCAAGATCTCAGGAGCTGCAAGGGGAAAGCTGTTCCAGCAGCTGAGCAGCAGACAGCTGGGGCTTTTGGCAGGAGTGGCAGGGTCATTCTTGGCAGCAGCAAGAGGATAGTTCTCCTCCCTCCTCTCTGTGGTCAGGTCAGAGGTGACTGGTGTCTGGAGGAATCTGAAGGCCTCACGCTGATCCTCCTGTCCCTGCATCAGCTGCCCCTTGCACATCAAAATCCACGTAAATAAGGAGCTTTGTGTTGGGTGAGGAAAGCTTTCTCTGCATGGTGAGGCACATGCTTCCAGCCTGCAGCACAGGCAAAAACAGCAAAACTCTGCAAAGAAAAGCTGAAGTCTAGATATGCCGCTGTGTAGAGACAGTTGCATACAGTGGTGTACAGCAATGCAGGAAAACCCATGGACACTTGGGTCAGTGAACAAAAGCACTTCTGAAGGTGCACTGTGTGCCTGGGATGTAATTCTGAGAAAATTATGCTAACCTGTGATAACTCACTAACGTCTTCTGTTAACTAGCTGAGGGTGACCTCCGATGCATCTGTGGAGGATATCTGCTGGCCTCTGCACCCACCAGCCCTCTGCACCAAGCCAAGCCATCTCTCAGTTGAACAAAACGGGACTAGAGAATTTGTCTTAGCTCCACTCATGCACAAAGACTCTGGATGTCTGCCAGCCATCACTAAGAAGGTTGCAAGGATATTTTTTCTGTCGTATCTTTTTGCAGCATAGCTTGTCTGGGAGTGTCTGGCCTTGCTGACACAACCAGAAACTAGCTCCTAGAGTTATGCTTGCTTTTCTAGGCATTGCTTCCAACTCCTCTATTTTTGTAGTGTATCACAGCTTGTGGGCTGTGGACTGAAAGCCAGGAGAGCCTGGAAGGCTGACTGCAAAGTAGAGGGGTTAGAAGAGGAATTTGAAGGAGGAAGGTGAAGGTTGAGTGATGTCCAGATTCAAGTTTCAATGCCGGAATGACATCCCTGGGTTTTACATTCATAGAATTTCCTTTTGCGACCTCTTATCCTGTACCAGCGTCATGAAGTTCTCATCTGTCAGTCATAGGAAATCTGCCCTCTGCCTCTTATGTGCCCAGAAAACAAAGAGAAAAGTGTATTTTCACCAGAAGGCAACTCCTCATGGCTTATCTTGCCATAAAGCTCAGCAAGGACAAGGCTCGCTCTGCAAGCATCAGACTCCTTGCCCAGGCAAGGACAAGACTGCATCTCTGGCCCCACCAACTGCTGCATGGGGAGAACCCCAGACACACTTCCCTATCTCCCCTGCAAAACAGCCACTTGAGAACTCCTTGTTGCCCCCACAATGCAATGTCCTAACAAAAAATGATGAAGTGGCTGCCTCCATCTCTGCCACCTGAACATAAGATTTAGATTAAAACGACAATGCAATGCCCCTTCTTCCCCAGTTATACTAACTCTGCCTGTTGTTTTGACTGCAAATATTTGTATTTTTAGCCAGATATTCTAAGGGGGGCAGAGGAAAATCCTATCTCCCTTCCATCCACCCCACCTCCTACCCATAGCAGCGCCGACTGCAAATGGTATCTTGTATTTCATGATTTTATTGCTATCACTGAACATCCCGTAATAAATACCAAACCTACCCTTTGATGTACCTGACCTGATGCCTCAAAAGAAAGCCTCTGCAGAGACAAGAGATTTCAAAAGCAATTACCTTCTGATATCTTACCAGACATCTTAGCATGCACCTTATGCATTCATTTTTCACGATAGGCAATGTGCCCATGTGCAATATGATTTTCTAGAAACAACTGGGTGATGGTTGCACACCTCCAGTGAAACAGGGACTACCACAGGAGGTAATGACATCTTCCAAAACGTCCCTTTGCGCACAGGAAATCATCTTCTCTAATTTTCAGTATTCTCAAAGTTCTCAAAATGAGTGAGTCTGAACAGACAGCAGCCTATGCAGTGGAGTAACAAATACAACATTACTGTTCAGCTGCTCCCTCACTCATACATAACTTTGCAGGTCTAAAGGCCCCCAATCCTCTTTTGTGTACCTCAGACCCTCAACACATTACTGCTGCAAAGAGGTCTAAACTTCACATGCAAGGCATAAAATCATGTCCAAACTACTGTGCAGGGCAGAAAGTGCCCTACATGACCATCCATCTAAAAATAGGCCCTCTCCAGGGCTACGGACAAGTTTCACAGATAACAGAGTTGGTTTTCCACACACTGAAATATGTGCTGCAGAAACATGCCCAGAGACACGAACGAAAAGGCTATAAATAAAATGAAACCAGTTAGGAAATGGGAGAATGCAATCCTGCTTCCTCTTGGAGTCGCAGTGACCAAATGCTTTAGTCTTTTAGCACTTTTATAGCCCTTTCCCCTCTCCTTGGCTATAACAGCACTGCATCCCATAGGAATCTATAGAAGATCATCACTAAATATCTCCCCCATTACCAGAGGGGAAGGCATGACCGGTTCCTCCCCGGGTTGTTCTTGCATTTCATGGAATTCATAGGAATTGAGCACTGGGTTAATGAAGGATGAGCTAGTGCAGTGATAGTGGGGCTGTCAGGTAGCCCAGACTCAGCAGTAGCTGGGGACCTCCCAAACCTGCCACAATGTAAGGAAAAATAATTGCAGAGTTTCAGCAGTAGAAATTTTGACCAGAGGATAGATTTCATTTCTACTTTGTCCATAACAGCCCATAACTCTGTTGTTAGGAAACAACAGCAATGGTCAATGGGGAAGTGATTTGCGTTTTGCAGCACAGATCTAGCTCCAGCTTCCCAGCTGGCATCAGCTCATCACTTCACAGAGATACAGCCCTGGTCAGAATCACATTTCTCCCCAGCCCTGGTCCACTCAACATCAGCCTCTCACAGGCTATTTCGGTCTGTTGCCTCCAAGTTCATCTGGCGGAGCAGAGGAGTACAAGCGTTTTTTCTCCAGGATTATCCTTAGGTCTGTAATTCAAAGGAAAGGCTGTTTTTAAGGTTATTCTCAGCATATGACTTCACATCACGTCAAAGACCTGCTCAGACTCTGTACGAGGTCCATCGACTTGTTTACATGTTTTCATCCCTCCTTGTCCTGTTCCTCCAGGACAGAGTAAAGCTTGAGTGCTGGAAGATAAAGGATCGAGGTTTATGCTATTACAGTTACACAGAAATATGTGGTGTGGGAGCAGGAAGGTTTTCAGACAGCAAGGCATCACCAGACTTAGTGGAGCACCTGCTTAGCACATGGACTGTGACAGAGGTGGTACCTCTGTCCGTTAGTCTTTTTTTTTTCTTCTGTATTTCAATTTTATCTCTGTTTTCCTTTCATGTCTTCCTTTGCCCTGCAAATGCTCTTTTAGATGTACAGCAAAACCAGCATGACTATTCATTTCTGAATGCTGATGCCTTTTTTCTTTGAAAATCAGCTTAGAAGAGCAAGTTCCTCTTTTGGACATTTACCAGCCAAATTCTTTCCCTCACTCCCTCACATGTGTTTCATGTGAGCATGGAAGAACACAATGACAGCAGCTGGCAGAAGTGCCTTCAAACCAGCCAGGAACTGAACGAAAACAATTTAAGCTATGATCAGAAATGCCATCCATTGTGACATTGTGTTCACTGTACCAAGCAGCAGTATATTAGATTAATACTCTTTTAGATTGTTACTTCAAGAACCATCTCAAGTGCATCAGCCTGCATCCGCATGTGCGGTGTTGAGTCCCCATCTCCCACCATACTGCAGTTGTTTCGCTTTCCAGGAGTCAGCCTTTTCAATTCTGGCTGAGAGAAAGCAGAAAAGGAAATGGAAAACAGTGAGTCATTTGGCCACAGAACAAATTAAACTTCTGGTACCTCTTCAAAGGCTTTGACCTTGCTAACAAAGGAGAGCTATGGTGCTTTTGGAATAATTCTCAGTCACTGGTTCAATTCCAGCTCACAAAAGAGAGAGTTTTGGGGTGGGAATCTTGCCCATCACTGGGTTATTTATCAGACCCTCTGGACCAACATTTTGAGGAATGTCAGGAATCAAGCCCAGGGGCTGATCTCCTATTCCATGCTAAAGAGCATCCCCAGTTACCTCTGTCATCAGAGGATACCTCGGCCACTCTTATTCTCCAGGTACTCACCTTGTTCTTGCAGCCAACGTGGGGCAGGCATGGCTATCACTGACCTTTCAGTCACTCCAGGGAAGTATAAATGTCCCTTTATCAAGTCAGGTGTCACCCACTCAATTATCAAATAATCTTGAAGAAGGTGACAACTCTCCCACCCTCCCTCTGGTGACTCATGAAATATTCTTTACATTGACCTTCACAGGTTACATCAGACTGGAAATGGAGAAATAAAGCAATTGAATGGGCCAACATACAGAGCACTTCTTCTAGTGATTCTGCTTTAATCCTTCTCCTTACTTTACAGCTAGGAATCATGTCTGGGGGAAATATGGCTGTTTCTGTTCTCCAGCTTGGGCTGCTGTTATCTCCATTCCTCCCCCAGCCTCCCATGCTGCAGAGGTGCATTTACTTTCAGCTTAGTGAGGAAACTGCCACAAGCTGACGGATGGGTATCTCTGCATGGTCCCTGTGATGTCTCTGTAAAACTGGAGGGAGAAAGCTTGCAGAGGGAAATGTAGATATGAAGCTATGAAAAGACACAGCAACATGGTAAGGAACAAGAATGCATGTAGGCACAGCTGTAAGCCCCAGGATGTCTTATATACTGAGTAAGCACCACTCTTATACACCGAATAAGCTCTTATACTACCGATACCCCAAAGCCTTGCAAAACTCTCCTACCTCTTCTACTTTGCAGCGTCACAGCAACCCACTTCCACCCTTCCAGCTCCTTTACCCACTTCCACTAACATAACGGACGGAAAATACACGTTCTGTGAACAGAAGAGCAGTCTGCTGCTCAGGCAGAAACAGCTCTGCTCAATCCTGACCCCAGAACTAACTTGAATCAAGACATTCCCTCCAGAACAAGGCTTGGGAGGCAGACGCATTTTGCCACAGGCCCATAGGAGTAGTGACGGCAGGCAGAGGAGAGGAGAGATTGTTACATTTTTTATAGAACAACCACAAAATAGTAAAAAAGAAAAAAAAAAAAAAAAAGAAAAGAAAATTGTAGCTTTTCAGCTTCAAGCCAGTGTCTTTCACATGACAGAACTCTCCCTTAGCCTTTCAGTCAAGGTATTGTTGGCTGGCCAGGTAATGCTAAAGGAATGAAGTCATTCTTATTTTTGCTGAGAAAAAGGGTCAGCGTGTCCCAACCAAATAGGATGAGCTCCATGTGAAATCAGGGGACCTCCCTGGAATGATTTCCTTTTTTTTTTTTTTAAACAAGGAAATTAGATATGAGAGGCACTTCGTTCCCCCATGAAGAAACGCTTCTTGGTCAACATAGCCTGAAGTATAAGGTGTGGAGGAAAATAGGAGGAAAATAGGAGGTAAATAGGCTCCCTGCTCTCTGCTCAGTGTGTCAAGACAGCCTGGAGCAAAATGCCTGGATAGGAGGGAATGGCCTTGCTGATTTAATCTTCAAAGCAAGTAACTGAAGTCTGGTTTTCTCTCATTTCTCCACCTACTTCTTTTTAAAGGTTTATCTGTCTTGACAGCTGTAAGCAAATGTTTTTATTTGCATTTTGTCTTAACCTGTCTTGAATTAAGTATGATTTCAGTGTAATTGGATACTAATGACTCGTTCCTTGCCAAAGGATGTGGTAAATCTCCACATAGAGCTTGGGGCACCTTACAAGTCTCTTAGTTGCCAGCTTGTTCTCCACAACATCCAAAGTATTATTGCATGTGCCCTCCCTCGGCTGCAAGACCCCCCCGCACAAGCAATAGCCAGAAGGTCTCTTCTAGAGATGGGAGAAAGAAAGGCTGTCAGTGAGAATGCGTTGAGATGCAAAACTCAGAAGCTTCTAGGGAGCTGCTGGAGGATTTCTGTGGTGGTAAGAGAACGTGGTTCCTGCTTTATGGGCTGAGCAAGAAGAAAGCTGAAAAACCCCTTCAGTGAGAAAAGAAGCTACAATAGGAAGTTTAGGAGCAGCCACCAAAGTGTAGCTTAGCAGT